TAGACAGCATATTGATGGATCCTGTTTTTTTAAATCCATTCTGTCACTCTCTGTCTCTTTTTTGGTACATTTAGGCAATTTATGTTCCATGTAATTATTGATAGGTATGAGTTTATTGCTGTCATTTTGTAATGCTTTTTTCTGTGGTGCTGATGATTTCTTTGTTGTCTTACTCTCCTGTGCTGAACTCCTTTTGTTTGTGGATTTTTTTTCATTTCTTTTGCTTTTGTAGATTTTGTTTTTACTGAGACTTTCTGTTTTTCTTCTTTATTTTGATGAGTAGATTTGTTAACTTTCTTTGTGGCTATGTTGAAATGTACCCTTATCTTCCTAGGTTTGTCTATTATTACTTGGTATTGCCTTGCCTTCCTCTCCGTTAGAAAGTTCTGTACTTACATCATTTATTCCCTTTTTTTATTGTTCTGACCTTGTTATCACTTGCAGGTTAACCTCTCTGGTTCCCTGTTGTAAATTTTTTGGTTTTGAATAGTCCTTGGGAGTTCATTTCCTAAGTTAATATCTGGCTGGTGTGATCTTGCATCCTAGATTCAGGCTGTCGTCTGATGTTGTTTGTTCTCAAACTGAAGGACTCCCTTTAATAATTCTTGTAAGTCTGGTTTGTTTTTACATATTCCTTTAATTTCTGTTTATCTGGAAATTATCTAATTTTACCACCATATTTGAATGAGAGTTTTGCAGGATATGTTATTCTTGGTTGGCAATTTTTTTCTTTCAGGGTTTTATAAATATCATCCCATTGCTTTCTTGCCTGCATGGTTTCTGCCGAGTAATCAGAGATTAGTTTTATTGTTTCCCCTCTATATGTGACTTTTTGTTTTTCTAAAGCTGCTCTCAGGATTCTTTGTTTTGGTTTTAGTGAGTGTGATTATGGTTTGCCTGGGTGATTTTCTTTTGGGGTCTATCCTATATGGGGTTCGTTGAGCTTCTTGGATGGTCAGCTTTTCAACTTTCATGTTAGGGAAGTGTTCTGTCAGCAGTACTTCAATGGTCCTCTCTGTGCTTTCTGTTTTCTCCCTGTTCTGGAACTATGATCACTCGAAAATTTTTGCTTTTTATTGTATCCCACATCATTCTCAGGGTTTCTTCATTTTTGTTTTTTTCTGATTTTTCCTCAAAGTTGTAGCCAAGTGTTTGTCTTCAATTTCACTAATACTGTCTTCTACTGTTTCAAACTTGTTTCTCAGCCCCTCTATGACACCATTTCTGAAATCTTGTTATCTTTCAGATTTCTAATTGTTGTTTTTGTATGATTTCTAGTCGTGAATTTATTTTAGCATTTTGTTCCTGTATTATTTTCCTGAATTCCTCCCTTTTTTGTCTGTATTTTTCATGAATTTGTCTGCCTTTTCCATGAATTTGTCTATTTTTTCCTCATTTTTGTCTGCTTTTTGCTTCAACTCTTGGATAGCTCTGAATATTAGAGATTTGAATTCCCTATCAGGTAGTTCTAGTGCCTTTTCTTCAACTGGAAGGTCATCTGGTGTTTTATTTTGGACATCTACTGGAACCTGTCCTGTTTTTTACATATTTTGATATTGTCTGCAGTCTTCAGGACATTCAGTAGTTATTTTCATTTATTGATTTTAGGTTTGTTTCATCCTTTTTTATTTGGTTATGTCTGAGTAAGCGGGCTGTGTGTTCTTTGTGGTTTGCTCTTCTGTAAACAGGAAATATTTCACCTCCTTGTCCAATGGGCAGGGCCAGTCGCTCAGCTGTGGTGCAGCAGGGTAGGTCCAGCTGAAGGGAAGGGGCTGGGATGGGTGGTTCATGGCACCTACCGGGGCCAATAAGGTGAGCTGGGGTCAGTGCAAGGCCGGTTCTGTAGGTCATGCCTGTGCTGCTCTGGAGTGCATTGTTCAGCATATAGTGCAGACAGGCAGGAGGGAGAGGGAAGGGGAGGTTGTGATGTGTGGAGCTAGGTGGGGTATCGGAAAGAAGAGAGAAAGGAGGAACAGGAGCAAAAAAAAATAGTGTTGAAGGAGCCTGCCTTTGGAATGGAGAGATGAGAAAATGAGAAATGAAGAAAAACAAAAAGGAAAAGGAGAGAAAAAAAGAAAAATAAAATAAATTTTAAAAAGTAATGAAAAATTTTAAAAAATGCCCCTAGGGATCCCACCAGTGCAGCTGCACACACCTGGGAAGCAGCTCCCAAGCCACTCAGCACAGCCAGGCTAGAAGGGGGTGGAGATGATACACCGCGCCAGGTATTCAGGAGACAGGAAAAGAAGGTAAGTAGAAAGAGATGACAAACCAAGAAATGAAGAATAAAAAGGAAAACAGAAAAAAAGAAAAAGAAAAAAGGAAAAAGAATTAAAAAAAAAAAAAAAAGCCCCCAGGGATCCCATGAGTGTGGCGGCACAGACCGGGGAAACAGTTCCTCAGCCCAGCGGCGCTTCACATCCTGTTAAGAAGAAGCAGAGATGGCACACGGAATCATGTGTTCAAGAGAAAGGAGGAGGAGGAGGCAAGAGGCAGGCAAAAAACCAGAAGAGGGCAAAAAAAGCATCAGCAGCCAGATGGGCACTCCCCTGTAATTCAGCCTTAAGTATTACTGGCAAACTATACAACTAATTCACAAAGGATTTTTTGTGATATGTAGAGTGTGTTTTAAAACCTTTTATAAAATAACATTTGAATGATACAATTGTTTGAGCATGGCCACCTACATTACATCTAACTCACACATTTTGGTGTCAAACAGTTCAACTCTCTAACAACAGTAAGCTTATGCGGGGCACCTAGCATAAGCAATAACACAACAAAGGGTTGTGTTATGCTTGATAAACTGCACACCTATCAGGGCATGAAGCACAAAGCCAACTTTCAACCACCTATGAAAGGCATAGCCATTTTACTGAACGGTCATTTAAACTGCTTAAAAGCCTTTAGAAAGAGAGAAACGGAGGAGTGAGGTAGGCAAGAGGAGGAGGTGAGGGGGAGAGAGTAAAAGGGCAGGAAGACAGAAAAGGAGGGAAAAAAAGATCTCATACAAGAGTTATTGCTTGATGAGGATTAGAATTACTATCAGTGCCATAATTAACCCCAAATCAAATGAATACAATACAAACACACCAAAAATATCACACAAGTAATGTTTTTAATTGTCTAGCTTCTCACAGTACTCAAAACACAGAAACTGACAAATCCATGATGTCCCCTAAAAATAAACATGAAAATTAAGATACCAGAAGACATTTTTTTTTTCTTTCTTTAGCTGTTTTTATTGTGATTATTAGGAGTCCCTGGGTAGTGCAAATGGATAACATGCTCAGCTTCTAACAGAAAGGTTGGAAGTTCAAGTCCACCCAGAGGAATCTCAGAAGAAAGGCCTGTTGATCTACTTCTGAAAAACCAGCCACTGAAAACGCTATGGAGCACAGTTCTACTCTCACACACATGGGGTCACCATGAGCCAGAGTCAACCTGATGGCAACTGGTTGGTTGGTTGGTTATTGTGATTGTTTTACACTTGGCCTGCTGACCCACAATGAGCTACTTCCTTCCATGGCCTTTTCGCCTTGCCATAGGCAAGGCCCTGAGGCTGTCTTGGCTGAGATGTTCCCTGGGAACTCCAGCAGACTGTTCTTACATTATTCACATGCACATTTTGTACTAGACAAACTGCCTCTTGGGAGGTCAACTCGGTGAGCATAGGCATTGTTACATTTGGTACATTTATATCATCAATAAATAGAATTATAAAAAATAAAAATCAGATTAAACTGTAACAAAATCTTCAAGTTTTACTTTTGTTTACACAGATAAAATAGTCATCATCATCATCATAAGTCTGAATGGAAGGTACTTTGATATTTTAATCAAAGTCTATGTAAAAGGCACAGATTGAATAGAGTGCATTTTACAAAACAAACAAACAAACAAAAAAACCCAAGCTCCTAATATTAAAAGGCTCCCGGCAAAGAGACCTGTAAAACACTGACATTCTACTTCCAAGAAGAAATATTATTTGAAAATCAATCTTATGAAAGTTCCAAATGTTGGTGGTTACGCTCTAACTCAACACTTTAGAAAAATCCCACTAAATTTGGCTCAGGAAAGCAACAGTGCCTTAATTCTCAGTATACCGTTCCCCTTTTTCCTTCTTCTAGTAAAAGGGATTGCTCAGGAATGCCTCTCTTCCTTTTGATCCCATCAGAGCAAAAAAGTCTGAGTTTCATTCTGAAAGGCAATCAATTTAGCAACAGCTTCACTCTTAAAGACTGTTCTGCCATGTTCTCTTTTCTCAGACCTGTGTTTTGGTCTCCTTCTCTCAGGGTCAGAACAGTTTGTCCCTCATTTCATTCTGGAGCTTAACATCATGAATCAAGAAAAGATTTGTTCTCTGTAAGAAAGATCATAAACCTACTCTGTAGGACACTGTTACAAACATATAGCTAAACAATTTTTAAAAATGGACCAATCAATTCAAAATTCACAAGAGGCTCAATGTCTTCAATTTCATCATATAAAAATATATAGAAAGGTAATTTTAATTCCTAATTACACATTTCCATAAAAATCTTATCAAAACTTTAATAAATGATTTTAAGAAATGTTTCTCTTTCTCACAGTTAATAAATAGCTCATTGCCCATTAGTTTAAAAAATAAAAAAGTCACCACTGTGTGAGACTCAAGGCCGTGCAGAGATGGCACCTTGGTCTCTCTATAAAGGTTTCTTTTATGTGAGTCGTGGGACACACGAATGGCTGGATTTCTGGTCCCAGCGTTGCCTCTAAAACATTATGGTCTTTGACAAGTTATATAACCTCCCCAAACCTCAATTCCTCCATCACTAAAATGAAGGAGCAGAAAGAGATTAGCATTTCCCAAACATGTGTTCCAAGGAATACCTCATGAAAAGGAGTTCTGTGGTCAAATTAGAAACAGCTGCACACAGTATCTCCCTTCTAGGAGATTCACAATGTGTTTTAGCATTATTAAAGGTTCTGAGAAGTCCTGTAGGACATTTGTTTAACTTTGTATAAAACTTAGTGACCTCAGAATCCCTGACACTCAGGGACGGATTACTCAATAAGCAAGGTACCCATGGGCTTACTTACTACTAATCTGTAGAGCACAATTTCACCTGTTTTTCACATGTGGTGAAACCCATGTGAAATTGTGCGCTATAGATTAGTAAGTAAACACAGTTAAGTCCATGAGTACCTTGCTCACTGGTTAATCCGCCTCTATGACACCTACTGGTGTTCTGTGGACTATACTTCGGAAAACACTGGTCCAGCGTTTCTCAGATCTCTTCCAGCACTTACATTGATGAAATGTAGGAAGAGCAATGTAGGCTTTTTTATGCAGGTTCTGGAGATTAAGACAGGATTTAAAGCCCTGGTGTTGACAAAGCACCTGTTCATGCTAACTGGCCCCTTGAAGAACACAATTCCCTTGTTGCTAATAAAAGTCTTCATTCAAGGAAAGCGGGAATGACTGTTACAGAATCTTGGTGGCCATCTACAGCACTGTAAGTAGCAAAACTTGCCAAGAATGGTAAGTTATCTTCAGTATAGTTTAGTTTTCCTTTCTAGTATGACTTGATTCTTCTCCATAGCAAATGCTTTTGCCACAGTTCCCGAGAATAGTTCTGCCCTACTTTACCAGGATCCTTGCCCTTCTCCCACTTCCTTGTATAGAATGATGTTAACTCGCTGGTGACACTGTCAGGCAGTCCTCAGGTTAAAGAGCTGTTCTTCCAAGAAGACACCCCCAAGGCCATATTGTTCTTCATGCAGATGAATTTCTTCGGGCGATAAGTGGCTTGCTCCAAGAACAAAGTCTGCAAATCTAACAAGGTTTTTTATTTTATTTTTTTAAAAATAAAGCTAATGTTATCACAGACAGGTTTATTTGGATGACAACATGTTCTCTTGGTACTTATCTCCTTTAATTAAATTTGACTTCAAGTCAATTGAGGATGGCATTTACACAGTGGGCAGGAAAATGAGACTGGCGTACGTGATCCTCCTAGAGGCAGCTACTCAGGGAGAGGGGGGAGAGGGTGGAGGAGTAGGCAGACTTAGACGCACTTAGCATAGCCAAATGTACCCACTCTTGTTTTCTACTTCCATCCCTTCTCTATTTTTTATTCATTTAGATTTGTTATTTTTTATTTATCTTTTAGCCAAAACTTTCCCCTTTCAATCTTTACTTTGAGGGCATTGTTATTTGGATTAAGTTATGAAGAAGGGAAAGCAATAAGGGAATATGTTGGGGCCAGGATGTCTTTCTTGGTGAATTTAAAATATTATTTTCCACACCAGTAGAATGACAAGCAAGTTACATATCACATGCCACCATTCTCCTCCCCCTAATGGAAATTATCTTTATGGTCTTCCCTATAAAAAACAGCAGATCACTATTTCATCTGACATCAGCAGTTCTGTGCAAATCAGAGTACTGAAGGAAAAGAGGAACCAGTGACAAGCTTCTGCATCATCTGTTGTCTAGGGAAGTCATCTGTTTCTAATCTGAAACATCTCTACCAAGCCACCATATTACTTTCAAATAATTCTTACCCAAGCGATGGTTCAAGCAACTGAACAGGGCTTACGAACAATTAAACACTCACTCACTTTTTAGGAGCCTGGAGTCTGGAGACAGCCAGCCAGGACGGGAAGTCGGGCCTGCGGCAGGCTCGGCGCAGCTCCTCCAGAGCACTGGCTGTTTCGGCATCAGCTTGTTCCCTGTATTCTTCATCAGTAAGATATTTAACCACCAGTTTTTCTGATGTAAACCATCTCTTCATTTTCCTAAAACATGCATATTTGGTTGCTAGATTCCCAGACATATTTGATTGCTCAATTCAATCCTTAAGATTTACAGAAATGTATTTCTTAGATAGCAACAGTAATACGTTTAAACATCTTTAATATAATATCTATAGTTTTTATTGTTGTTATCATGACTGAGGAATACAGAACCTATAAAACTCGTTGCCATCAAGTCGATTCCGACTCATGGTGACCCCCATGTGTGTCAGAGTAGAACTGCACTGTATAGGATTTTCATGGCTGTGACCTTTCAGAAGTAGATCCCATAAAAAAACCCATTGCCGTCAAGTTGATTCTGACTCGCAGCGACCCTAATGGGGCAGAGTAGAACTGTGTTCCATAGGGTTTTCAATGGCTGAGTTTTCAGAAGTGGATCACCAGGCCTTTATTCCAAGGCACCTCTGGGTGGGTTCGAACTGCCAACCTTTTGGTTAGTAGCCCAGCGTTTAACCATTTGTACCACCCAGGGACTCCATAGAGAACCTCTAATTTGGGTCTAATAGTATACTTTCCCTTTTCCTAGATTATCCTAACTGATGTCCTAAGGCATTTGAGATTGACTTTTGGTAGAGATGTTAATTGCATTTTTCTTCTTCGGTGATTTCTAATCACACATTAAAAGTCTGGCTTCTTTAGGCTTGGCCTGCTGATTTTCTTAGCACTAACAGAAGCAAGTCTTTGGAGATTTCCTTTTCGGAGACCTAGCAGAATCACCACTTACTCCCTAGACTGAAAAGCTGGAAGATTTGTGGGATATTGCCTCCACCTAGTGGTGATGCTACTGATTAATCCCAAAGAGGGAACAAAGATTATACGAGGGTATTGTATGTACAATAATTTATAATTATCCTTCCTTCCTCACATGCCCAGGGGCTCATGATTGGAATATTTTTCTTTCCAACCAGGAAAGCCCAAAAGGGAAAAATCCCTTAAAAACATTAATGATAATGATATTTTAAAAAATATTAAGTTACATTTATAAATGAGTTTTTAAACATGGTTTTGGATGATTTATATTTCATTTAATCAGAGATTCCCAAATCTGAATGGGCACCAGAATTACCAGTTTTCTATTTTAAATATATCTTCTTGAGGGTTGAGACCTTAAAAATCTATATTTTATATCTTACTGCTCACTTGCTGGCTGACAAGCTGAGTTAGGAAATTGCTAACATTACTTCCTTTTCTTTTATTGAATGCCCAGATATGGTTTAAGGAGCCCTGGTAGTGCAATGGGGCCCTGGTGGCACAGTGGTTAAGTGTCTGGCTGCTAACCAAGAGGTAAGTAGTTCAAATCCACCAGCTGCTCCTTGGAAACCCTATGGGGCAGCCCTACTCTGTTCTATGGGATTACTATGAGTCCGAATCGACTTGATGACAATGGGTTTGCTTTTCTGTTTTTTAGTTTGGTGATGCAGTGGTTAAGTGCTTGGCTGCTAACAGAAAGGTCAGCAGTTTGAACTCACCAGTAGCTCTGTGGGAGAAAAGACCTGGTGATCTGCTCCTACAGAGATTTCAGCCTAGGAAACCCTATGGGACAGTTCTACACTGTCGTATAGGGTCGTTATGAATTGGAATTAATTCGATGTCACACAATGGTTTACCTAGAGAGAAGAAACCCTGGCCTCTGAGCCAAAGGCTCAGGCACAAGACCTAGCTTTGAGGTTTACTCACTGTGTGAGCTTGGGCAATTCCTTAGCTGTTCTGAGCCTCACTTGCTCATCTGAGAAAAATGAAAGTAATAACATCCATCTCATGGTGTCACTGTATGGATTAAATGAGATATGGTGTGTAAACTGCTTAGCACAGTGAGTAGCCTACAGTAAGTGTTCAATAAGGATAATCCAAACAGTGGCTACAATTTATTACTAAAATATATGTAAAACAGTTCTTTGCAAACTAGTAAGTGCTATACAAAAGTATTATTTCTCTGGTTTATTATTTAACCTAGAAGTTCCTATTACATCCCATAGTTATTCATATAATTCTTCACTAGCAAAGTGAAAAGTTGAGCAACGTAAAGTACATTTTGATTATTGCTTTCATGCTAACAGAATGCACAGAAGTCCTACATTTGTGATCACTTTAGTGAAAAAGTCAGACCAATATATTTCTATTTTCTCATTCTGTATTAACTATCATTACAATCTAATTGTTCAAAGACATCTTTGAATGTCATTAAAGCTATCAGGCCAAGAAGCCTGAAGGGAGTAACTTAACAGATGAAATGAGAGAATTCAAATTGTATATATCATGGTACAACTACCTACTACTTTTTGCCTTCCCAAATGAAGAATTTTATATATGTTATCTATAACAAATACTTACCAGCTATCCATGATTATTATGTAACTAGTAGCCAGAAAAATTAATAGTTCTAGTTACTGAATTTACTGATACATTTCCTTAGTCCCTTGCACATTATCATCATTCCCCATTAAAAAAAAAAAAAAATCACAGGTACATAATTTACACTTTTACTAATTAAAGCTCTTCCCCTGCTTAAAAGACACATTGTGCAGGTGACAGAACACACTTTGCTCTTGGCAGGGCAGTTGGATGGTTAAATAGAAGGAAGAAGGAATCCTACCCTGCGTTCCTCAGGCCACAAGCCTGGCAAAGAGCCAAAGACTTAGAGGAGGAAGCCCTAGGTAATCCTAGCCACTGCTGGCTTCTGGTGGACACGGTAAAGAGAGAACCAGTAAGCATCAACCCTGCTGATCCGTCCTGCTGCCTCTCAGCTCTTCCAGCATCCTCTGGACAGGGGCCCTGTCCTGTCACTGGTGTGTTTTCACCCTGAGACAGTGCCACTAGATCCGTAAAATTCCAGTTACCACAGTTTCCTGTTCCCTCACAGCCAATTTACCTCTTTCAGTATTTATTAACCCCTTCTTCCAGCCTTTGGTCTCACTGCCCTACTCCAGGCCCTTATCAACTCTTGCCTGGACAACAGCGATATCTGAGACTGGTCTCCTACCACAGGGACTCCCCCCCCTTATATCCACTCTCTGTGCCAGAAGATGGATGGGCCATACTCTGCCAGCCAATTATGTTCTTGGTAGCTGGTTTGCTTTTTGCTTGTAGAATGTATTACTTTTAATTAGGTTAGTTGCCAACATTTAGAGATCGTAAGAATTCACATTCTAATCCCCATTTCCAGTTTTTCTAGAAACCAGAGTCCATCTTCCTATATGGCAAGAGTCAGCTCAAGCTGAGTGGTAACTGCCCCCTTTTAGATGAGGCTGGACTGTAGAATGTCCCACAGTCCTCAAGATCACACCCCTGCCTAAGGGGTACCTGGTTGGTATCACTCATTACAGTATCTTCTTGGCCTTCAGCATTTGAGTTTGTAATTCCTGTCTAGGCAGCAGTCAGAGACAGCTAATAAAAATGCATGATGCTTAACCTCCCACTGTATAGGGGATATGAATAGATTCTTTAGCATGGCCTGCGACGCCTACGCAATCTGGCCCGTGCCTACCTCACTGGCTACATCAACAACACTGTCTGCCTCGGGATGGTACCAAACTGGGCTTTCCCACTGTCAAGAAGGCTCTTACCACATCTATTCACCTGGCTATTCTGATTCATTCTTCAAGATTCAGCTCAGTACTATCTCCTCCAAGAAAGCTTTCCTGAACTTTCTCTGTAGTAAAGATATACAAATTTATATCTATGTCTCAACGAAGTACGCGTCAAGGACCATCTCCTTTACCCACGCGCTGGACACAAAAACAAGTGCTCAAACTCAGGAACTGGGGAGACACATGAACAACAGACCGTGACAACAGAAGTTAGCTCATTTTTCTTTCTGAAGTGTCAATGGGCTTTGGCCTGAACTGAAAACATAAAAGAGAGTCCTAAATCCTAAACATAATTTATGATTCATTTCAGTTCCTAAATCGTATCTGATAAACACAACACATAACACTAAAGCATCCTTTGGCTCTAATGCAAGGAAATGCAAAATAAAAGTAGAAATTTTAGGCAACCCAGAGCTCAAGTAATTTTTCCACTGATTTAAATAAATTCCAGGTGGTTGTAATTACCTAGTAATTGGTGATGCACCCTTGAAGGATTAATGAAGACTAGATATGGAGATGGGATCCGATGCTTAAGCTCTATCTCCTTCTCTCTCTCATAGGGAAATCTCCAGATAAAACAGTTAATTATGAGTGTGCCCCAAAAGTTCCCCAGAACAATAAACAAGACCAGACTTTAAGTGTCAATTTACTAGGAAAAAAAGAAAAATGATGCGCACCTGCTCATATAATGGAATGCTTTTACTGGGCAGCGCAGACTTCTGGAGCACAGGATGAGGATCATTACTGCATATCCATACTGAGGTATGGAGATCCCAAAATAGATGAGAAGCAAGGAGAGAAGCTGCAGTACCCACATCAGAAGGTTTCTGCTCCTTTTGTCAACAAGGGGTCCATGTTTGTAACAAATAGCAAAGCTGAAAAATCCAACTATCAAGATATAACCTGTAAAAGCAGAAGAATATAAAATAATGTGAACTTGAAAAGTTATATGTGAAACCTGGAAGAGCTCTGAATTAAAGCTAAAAACCTGTCAGAAAATCTTAATTTTTATTTTTCCCAATGAAGCAAGGTTAAAAATTACATATAGAGCTAGTTATCACTGCCATGTGAGAAACTGGGTTGACTTTCATAACAATTTAGGATATATAATAATAAGTTATTAAACAAACAAACAAACCCCTTGCTGTTGAGTTGATTCTGACTCATAGCGACCCTAGAAGACGAGTAGAACTGCGCCCATAGAGTTTCCAAGGAGTGCCTGGTGGATTCTAACTGCCGATCTTTTGGTTAGCAGCCATAGCACTTAACCACTACACCACCAGGGTTTCCCCTGGTTATTAGAAATTACTATTTATAACAGTAAATTATTATGATATAAAAGCATATCTGTTTTTCAGTCCAGTGTCCTATATGGCCAAATATTACCATGATTGCTTTGACTAGGAATAAGCCTCAGCTTATGTCATGGTCTGCAAAAAACCCTATTCTTATTTTTATTTTCTAGTCATAAAAGGAAAATGTAATTTTACAGTGAGGGAGCAGGCTGTCTCCCTCCTAATCCAGTGCTCAGCCTCAGTATTATTAGTGCTGGGACTATTCTGTGTCTCCAGTTGTGACCCAATGTGAAGTGCATATCATCTCTTGTGTATTCCACCAGAAGTGTTTAATTTGTATCTAAGCAAGCCACAATACCCAACTTCTAGTTTACAGGAACTACAGGGGACAGAGAAGAAGTTAAATTATATCACAAAGAAGTCATCAGAGAAAGTCAGAAAGTGGGACTTCTATAGGACAACTATCCTCAACTCTTCAGCACGTCACTACGATAAAAAAGGAACCGTTATGGATTAAAAGAGACTTACAGGACATAACAAATGCAAAACGTGGTTCTGGACTATATCCTAGCTTATACAAACTAGCTGTAAAGGACGCTTGGGAAATGTGAATATGGCGTGGGTAATAGATGATTTTATGTACTTATTAATATTGTCAGACTGATAATTATTTTGACTATATAGGAAAATGTTCTTGTTTTTGAAAGATGCATAGTGAAGTATTTAGAAAAGTATACCATGATGTCTGTGATTTATTTCACAAATGCTTTAGCATTAACAAAGCGAGCTATAAACATAAAATCTTCAAGCAAAAAAAAAAAACAATTAATTGCTTCTGTTTTCGTGGGGGAGGCTTTGTGCGAAGTTTGGTGCTAAGGGTTAGGAGAAAATAGATTCTCCCATTCTCCATTATTTCCCAGTTAAAACAACAACAGCAATAATAGTAAAAAGATGTCTTGCTTTTGTAACATAAAACAAGAAGAATGAGTGGTTTCTTAACAGCCTCCCTGTTTCTGAAAAGTTAAGTTTTTATTTGTCATTTTATTTAGGATTTCTTACTTTTTATGCTGACTACAATAAGGAGAAATAAAGAGACATATTTTAGAGAATTTTTTACAAGATAGATGTGGTTACAGCTTAACCACAATTCAGAAACATGTGTATCTTAGATGACTGCTCACAAAAAGCAGGGATAACTAGCTCTAAGATACTCCACTGGTCTCACCCCTTCGGGAGCAAGGGAGAATGAAGAGAACAGAATACAAGGAAAAGATCAGTCCAAAGGACTAATGGACCACGGCTACCAAGGCCTCCACCAGACTGAGTCCAGTACAGCTAGATGGTGCCTGGCTACCACTGACTGCTCTGACCGTGATCACCACAGAGGGTCCTGGACAGAGCTGGAGAAGGATGTAGAACAGAATTCTAACACACACAAAAAGACCAGATTTACTAGCCTGACAGAGACTGGAGAAACTCCAAGAGAATGGTCCCGGACACCCTTTTAGCTCAGTGGTGAAGACACTCCCGAGGTTCACTGTTCAGCTGGGGATTGGACAGCCCCATAAAACAAAACGGGACTAATGAGGTACTGCAGTCCAGGGAGAAGGACTAGAAGGCAGGAGGGGACAGGAGAGCTGGTGATAGGGAACCCAAGGCTAAGAAAGGACAGTGTTGACAGGTTGTGGCATTGTTAACCATTGTCATAGGGCAATATGTCTACCAACTGTTTAATGAGAAACTATTCTGTTCTGTAAACCTTCATTTAAAGTACAA